GCACGAATGCAGGACAGCTACACGCGCTTGAGCCTCCTTAAAAACATTATGCTTATTATAGCTTTCGGTTTTGAGGAATGACTTTTACAAAATTGGATTTTAGCCCGAGAGTCCGCTACAGAATAGTGATTACATGTGTGATTTAGGCCAGAAAGCCCCCCCCCCCCCCCCCCCCCCCCCTTAAACGACACATGTAGTCGGACGCGTCGCTTATACATCGATACAACGATTAGAAAGCGAAGTAGAGGCAAAGTGGTCCACGCCTACACTTTCATACACGCGGTCCCCCAACTACACTGTATACTTTCTATTTTTAGTCGTCACTCTACGTAGCTAGATCTGTAACAATTGTAGTCACGTTTAGTCGGTATAAGTTATAGCGCAGCAGTGCGAATGGCGAGATAACATCGCGTCCTTTTGAGCTAGTGATTTTTGTGATAACGATAAGAAATATACATTTTATTTTGTGTGCTATTGATCGCTGTGCGCGAGTGCGTAAAACGATGAATCCGACCGATTTATTGGAAAAAATTAAGAACTTACGAGAAGGGATCGATTTGGACATCGCATACGAGCGACATGAATTTCTCCGTCGACTAATTCCCTTAATCGAAAATCGGAAATCCCGTATTAATGTACGGGAAATTTTTCGAAAGGAAGAAATCGAACGTCTTCTTTTGGATTCCATACACTTATTCAAGCCTCTACTAGACGAAAGTCGTAGAAATCGATTCATCGATTTTTTGATCAGATGCGGCTACAGAGACGAGCCCGAATCGGAAGAAGACGGGCAGCCAATGCTGCTTCACGCCACGCCACTGCATCATGCAGCTAGAGCGCTTAGCTCCACCGATAGCGGACATTCACTGTACGATCGCGACGCCTCATATCACAATTATGTAATGAGATTGAAAAGATACTACAGAGCGACGATCCGCTGGCTTTTTATTCGCGTATACAACAGGTACGACGCGAACTACGTCGACGAGGACGGCGTGACGCATTTCCACGTGGCCTGCAGGCTCGGCTACGACGACGTCGTCGAGAAATTTCTCGAGGCCGGCCAAGATCCCAATTGCCGCGCGCCAAGATCCAAAATCCATCCGCCGTTACACTTGGCCGTGGACGATCGCAATATTCGTTTGGCTAAAATGTTGCTGAGCCACGGCGCCGATCCGAACTCCACCGATACAGCGGGATTGACGCCTCTTCTCCGTATTTGCTCGCATGGCTACTCCGACCACACTGACTTGGCGAAAATGTTACTCGAGCTCGACAGCGACGAGTATCCAGCGGCTGATCGGGTCGATGCCCAAGACCCGATGGACAGGACTGCGTTGCACTGGACCGCGACTCGAGACAAAAAGAGGCTAGCCGAAGTGCTGCTGAGGGCCGGCGCCAGTACGACTTCTGCCGCTGCACGTTGTTTGCGAAACTTACAGCAGCGACACCGACTTGCTGAGGATGTTGCTCGACTTACCCGAAGACGAATGTCTAGCGAAACAGCTCGAAGCCCGAGACAACAGAGGCAACACACCGTTGCTTTTGGCTCTGAAGAATCCAGTCGACAAAAAGGAGACGGTCGAATCGCTGCTGAAACGAGGCGCCGATCCGAATGCGGCCATGAGAAATGACGGATCGACTCCTTTGCAAGTTATTTGCGACAGATTCGAGGACGACGGCTTATTGGAGCGATTTTTCGAGATCTGTGAAGAAATCAACAAGACGGTGCTAGTCGATGCTTTTAACGATCGCGGCGAAACAGCGTTGAATCGGGTTTTGCTCAATCGCAAAGAAAAAATGGCCGAAGTACTACTCAGAAGAGCTGCGCAAATGTGAATTTAATCGACAGCGAGGGATCGACTCTTTTACACGTCATCTGCAACAAAAACCGAGACGACAAATCGGCCAAGATTCTATTCAAGATCTGCGACGACATCCATCGGACGGTGCAGGTCGACGCCGAGGACAACGACGGTAACACGGCGTTGCAGTTGGCCGTGGCGAATATTTTGCCCAATACCGTCGATGTGCTCTTGAATCACGGCGCTGATTTGTCCAAATGCCGCTTTCCAACGATAATCGATCCAAAATGGTCGTACTTTGGTAATAATGGTTTACTGAGAGCAGCATCCGGTGCCCTGGCCGTCGCCGAGCATCTCGAGACAAGGGGATACGATTTTAGCCGAAGCGACGCCCTGACGATCATGCAATTTTTCGCTAAACACGGTCTGTTCGAGAAGTCGTCGGATCTTATAAGATACGGGTGCAATAACAAGACGTTCGCGAAGGAAGTGAAGAAAATTAAGATAAATTCAAGCCTGTCGCTCTACGATCTGATCCAGTTGCGGCCCGAAGAAGAGGAAAAACTACTCACGTATATGGACTACTTCATTTTCGCGAGTCGTGGAATAGGGCCGTATTATAGATCGAATTATACGACTTTTAATGTGTTTTTGCATATGTACGAAAAACTATCGAGAGGATTTTTTCGGCGCTGGGCACTGGGTCCTTTTAGGGAACTGATACACGAACGGCTGCCGCTCGAGTGCTGCGAAATGGTCCTGGAAAATCTGAACAACCGAGATTTGGGCAATATCTGCGCGGCGGTTGCAGGCCAAAGCTCGTGATAGTCGTCGAAGATCCAGGAAATTTAATAAACTTTAAAATAAAAAAATTCATCACGATATCTATATAATAGTTTTTAAGATATCTTGGCGCCAGTCTCGAAAAACATGGTTTTGAGAAAAACGCGTTTAAAGTCGTTAACTGCCATTAAGAGCCGTGTAAGCGCTTACTCTCGATCCTGAGTTTGACCGACTAAAAATGCGAATTTACATACGAGATTTTAGCCAGGGATTCTTGAATGTATAAGCTATTCGAAAGTACAACAACAAAAAATTTATTTTCTGGTCCAGCTTGATGAGAACCTCCCTCCTAATACTCTATTGTAACATTATTTGATTCTAGAATTAGTAGTAATTGGTTAATTGTACAACTTGGAATAAATAGTCAGAAGAAAATTGAACTTTTTTCATCAAGTATCTAACTTGGTAAAAGCTTAAAAAATTTTAGAATGTAAAGCTGTATATAATTGTTTAAAAAAATGTAATTCTGTAATATTTTATGAACAAAAGTATGATGAATAAAATTAATTTTTCTCACAATTACATTTTCTATTTACTTTACACTTATTAGTAATACCATGATCACTGCTTGTATTCTGGTCCATACAGCCAGGTATGGCGAGCAATCAACTAAAAATGAAATTAAAAGTTATAAAAGGTCAACCGCCCAGTTTCTGACTACCTACCAGTTAATGACCGTTTGATCAATTATCATTACTTATAAATTGAATGTAAAAAAGTTAATCTAATATTATCCTACCTACAGTTTCAATCAACTTTCGACTTATATAAATTGTATAGAGGTAAACTTCCCAGTTTCTGACCACTTACCAGTTAATGACCACTTGATGAATAAATATTATAAATTGAATATACAAATTTTAATGTAATTTACAAGGTTTGCCCAATATTAAGCAATGTTATAGGGTACTTGGACTAGTGATGGGCCGCCTTCGATCAATAAATGACCGCTTTTGGATGTGCAATAATTATTCTTTCTTCTTTTTATATGATAGGGTAAACTGCCCAGGCCGAATTGTTGTTTTTCAGCGTTAGAAAAACAAAAAAATATGAATAATTGCGTTTAGAAAAAAAACTAAATAGATCATCGTAGCTAATTAAATATTAAACCAATTAAAATTAGTATAACATTTAATTAGCAATGCTATGATGTATTTTTTCTTAATCCGAAATATTACACAAACGTAATTATTTTGTGGATTCAATGTAAGTCTAAGATGATTTATTATTAATTAATGCTTTTAGCCATTAGAAGACTACGTCGAAATTGCTTATTAATATTGTTCTTTTCAATAAACTTACTATGATTTATAAACAAATTTTTCCGTGCCGATGAAGACTTGCTTACTCATTTCCATGCAGCGGCGGAGGCGATGGTGGTGCATCGCGAATGTACTGAAACGTTCGTACAAATTACAATGATTTCTTTTGTCAGTGGTACCTATATCGTGAAATTAAGTTGTTTTTTTATTAGATCAGATTAAATTTGTTCAAGCTCATTTTTCAGGTCGTGTGCATATTGCAGTTGCAAGCTCGTCGTACGAGACCTCTAAACTCTCGAACATTTTGTGCTTCTATCATGCATGTAGACACGATCGCGTTTCGGACTTTCAGGGAGCCCAAAGGCCAGCAGCAGCAGCAGCAGCAGCAGCTCGAAGTTAGAGTTACACGGCAGCAGGCAGAGCGGTAGTCGGCACAAGAGCCGCCGACTCGACACTCCGGAATCGCTTCGGAGTCGAGCTGGTTGCGTTTTGTGCTGCGGTGGCTTGAATAAGGTTTGCCGCACCACCGACTACTGCATCCTTGTGCTAACCTTGATAGAAAGGGCCATGCCCCTTCTGGCAAGATGTGCCGCAGCGCACGTATATATATTGAGCTCCGCACGAATCTGCATACATTATGGTCTAGGTAGAGGTGCTGAGTGGATGTGTGTGTGTCTCTATCTCTTGTTGCTTATCGAGGCCATTTACTCGAAATCTCGACATGGAGAGAGAGAGAGAGAGAGAGAGGATCTGCTCCCACAGAGCTTGCAGATCTTGTATTTTACACACACCTACAGCTGCGAGTTCAACTTGGAGTATGGGCGCGCGAGGCCAAATTTCATTATTCAGCCGAGGTATTTCGTTCGCGAAAGTTACACAGTCTGGGCGTATTTCTATTTATACGTATTATTCTCACTTTATCTCTCTCTCCCTCTCTCTCTATTGCTAACTCGAGTTTGGCGCTGCATCAGTGGGGGGCGAGCAATTTGTGCTAGAGAAAGAGAGAGAGAGAGCGGCCCGGAAATAAGTGCGCAGCGCAGCGGCGATCATTAGCATAAGTGATCGACGTGCGCGCATATATACAAGTAGATTCGTATCGGTATTTTGTAAACGATGGATTATATTATCAAAACGAGCTTGCGTTATATGGCTGCGCGTATATAGCCCAAAAAGATCGATACACTCTTCGAGAAGCACGAAGATTATACGTATATAGCAGACACGTACACACACAGACAAGATGCGATCGTTACTAATTGGTCTAATCAATTTTTTACCACCCGACGAGAAGCGCACGAGCCTCTTCTTCGATAAAAAAAGCTCCGCTACACGAGAACTTGCGAGATATAGATTCGCTAGGAACTTCACACCCGACTTTATAAAAGCTTTTTGTCCGGGTATATCGCGCAAAAGTATGCTAGACATACAGAAAATCATCGAGATAATCATCGAATACATCGTCGCGTTGTTGACTCGAAACAAGTATATACTAATTCGCGCGAAGGCGGCGGCGGTCGCTATATAGGTGCTGCTGCTGCTGCCGCTACGGAAAATGTGTCATTAATCGACTGGATGGAGCTGGCGCCGCAGCGCGCGCGATCGAGCAACGGAATTCGTCTTCTTAATCGACGTAATTATTCTCGGTGTAATGAAAAATCAATTGATTTAAGCCTCTTCATCTTGTCTCTATATTATACGGAGGAGTAGTAGTAGTTGGTGTCGAGATGAGTAGGAGGTGGAGGAGGTGGCAGAGAAGATGCGCCGCGCGCGCGATAGTATTCTTGAAGATAATCGATATAGCCTCGGCGCTTAAGACAGCTTATGTACATCCCGCGGCTGCTATATGTATTACACACTGTATGTAGGGAAGGTTAAAAGGGTTTAATTTCCGAGTCTGTGTATAAAGATAAAAGCAGCGCAATTGATAATTCATCGTGGCATCGAAAGTGTGTTGCACGCACATAATGTTTCGTATACTTAGACCTGTCTATGTGTGCATGTATGAGTATAAAGCGTGGGCCCTCGGGTGTACGCAGTTATGCATCGTAGGGCAAATGGTCTCGATACAGGAATCGAAGGCGCAGTTATACACAGAAGAGTCGCTGCTTATGCGTGAAGGGGTCACACACGATGTAGTGTAAGGGAGGCGCTGGCATTTCGCTGTATGTGTGTGCGTATGCATACATATAGGTAGCCCCAAACGAAAGGGACTCGTTCGCTCGCTCGCGCCACAAATGTGCAGAGAGAGAGATATATTTTCGAGTATATAGGTATTACTGTAGTTACGCCGCGTGTGTATAGGCTCTCGAGTGTAGACTCGCCAGTCGCCAGCTCTCTCTCGCGCAGAGCCAGCAGCAGCAGCCACCCGCCACCGCCAGGCAGAGAGCTAGATCCAAAGCAGCAGCAGCGAGCGAGAGAGAGAGAGAGAGAGAGAGAGAGAGAGAGAGCAGAGAGTCAGAGTGGAGTCTCGCGAGAGATCAATACGCACACGGCGCGCAACGGCGGCAACGGCGGCGGCAACGGCGCTATCTTTCTCTCTGTTCGTGCGCGCGCGTCCGAGCTTCTGCTGCTGCTGCTCCCGCTGGTGTATACCTAGTCAAGCTCTCTCTTCGTCTATACCGTGTATATGGGTGTGTGTAGGTTGTGTGTGTGTGTGTGTGTAGGTGTGTAGGTGAGGCAAGCAAATGGGTGAACTCTCTACCACCACTACTACTAGCACCACCACTAATACATGTGCAGCAGCAGCAGCAGCAAAGCCTGGCCGCGCCTCGATTTCGTACTCTCTAGCTCTCGCTCGCTCGCTCGCTCTCTGCAACTATGTATGTGTGTGTATACTTGTCGAGGCGAGTTATTATACATACACACACACACACACACATAGACACACGACATGCTGCTGAGCTTGCTCTTGTCACTGTATATACGTGTATACGATGCTCTCTGCGCGAGCTCAAATGTGCAATGTGCTGCATTATGACCAATTGTCTATTTCGCCTAGCCTGCCACTGCTGCCACTGCTGCTACTGCTGCGAATTTTCATAATATATACTTGTCTCTGGAAAGTCTTCGAGAGGAAATTCTCTCTACCATATATACACGATTCTTGCTGCCTTGCTGCTGCTTGCTGCTGTGCTGCTGCCTCGACTCGGGCGCGCATCGCATTTTTCATAATTACTAGCTACACACACACACACACACCACCCTCCGAAGTATTTCACTTTTGCCGCTGCCGCCGCCGACGTCGCGCCTCTGGCCGTCAAAACTTATTCGCCGACGTAATCATAGTTTTTATAGAGGCGATTAAGCTCCCGGCACCTGCGTTAAAAATAAAAAGAGGAGGAGGAAGACGAAGGAAAAGCGTTACATCCTTAATAATAACGATCGTTTTGGCTTTTATTTTGCTCATTTTTCATCGGTAAATACTCGCGGCAACGAGAGAGAAGCGATCGCGTTGATAATATTCGCGCGCGACTACGTTATATAATACGCAGTTAGCGTCGATGGATATTCGAAAGCTCGTGTATTAATTTGTCATTTATTATATGTATACCTCGCCCGGATAAGTCGAATGCATAAATATACATGTTCCGCGTAGATTATCTTCCAGCCCCTCTACATTCCTCTCTACCTCTATCTCTCTCTTTCTTTCTCACTCTCCTCTTCCTCCTCCTCCTTCTCTCTCTATCTCTCTCTCTCTCTAGTGCAGCAGCTCATTGTTATGCATCGCAGACAACTTACCTTTCATACTCACCCCTCCATTTAAACGTACAATTAGTCCTAATTGCCAAAATGCAAAACACTTGGCTTCGTTTGGACGTGTATGCATGTATACCGATATATAGTATACATATTCTCGTATACAGTATACGTACCATTGTTAATTTCATCAGTTCGTATATCGGGATTTAAAAATATTACTTTCAAATCTAGCACTGAATCAATTTGCAGATAGAGAGAGAGAGAGAGATGCGTGCCAAATTCTTGGCCTCGATGCGAGAAAGTAAAAGAGGAGAGAACAAAAAAACACGGGACAAAGTTGAGAGAAACGACGACGATGAAAAAGTGCAGAAAAGAGCGCGGATATCGTTGGCTTGTTATAACGAAACGCTCGAGCAACAGCTCTCTCTCCGGCGTTAAACGGCTAAATGACACCAACAATTATTCCAACGTTAAATATTGAAATGTAATCAAATGGTATTTAGCATGCTTCGATGAGATTTTCAATCAAGTTGAAATTGTTTACCGGGCAAATTTCCTATGAGTATGTCTGACTATTCCGCGTTCGTACTACTGAACAACGATTTCGGACCCTAGTTCAATTTATCGAAAAGTGCACTCGAACGAATA